GCTCTTCGGGCCCTTTGTCTGAATTTGCAAGGAATTTAATGTAATCCCCCCCAATATTTCCCAGTCCAAAGGCACTTCTTCATTCCTGTTGGGCCTTTTTCCAATGGGGCAGCCATCCCCCCAAAGAGCGTTTGTAAAATGCTCTTGTGCAGCCTCTCCTAAGGACTGTGGGAAAGCAAATGTCTGCACATGTCTTGGACTGACCACAGCCCCCACCAGTAGACCCAGAGGGCCCCAGCCCACCCTCAGGAGCCTCTGGTGAAGAAGGGCTCTCAGGTAGCAGCAAGTGATGAGGAAGGGGCCTCTGGCTGTGGCTGGAGCAGAGAAGTGGGAAAGAGACAAGCAGTCTGACTTGGCCAAAGGTGGCTTTCTTATAGATTGGCATCCTTTCCCCCTTTGTAAAGGATCTTGGGTCCTGATACAGCGGAACACATGGCAAGCGATGACAGGTTTTTCTCTGCCCCAGCTTCCAAATGTGCTGGGACTTGGGGTGGGCTGGGTGATCATAGTTCTGTAGGTGGTCTCTAGAACAGAAGAGGTTTGCTCCCTTCCCAAACAGCAGCTTTCCCTGGACTCTTTGAAGGAAATGGACACCTCTTGGGGGTCACACGGGTGGGTCTCCAGGCATGCCAAGCCCCTCTTCTTCACAGAATTGTAGACCCCTTGCAATGCAGGAATCTCAACTCAAGCATCTGTGATGGAGCAATCCATCTTCCTGCTGCTGCAGTTTTAGACCTGAGCCCCTCTGCCCCGCCTCCTGGTGCCTGCACTACCCCTACCCCCAGCATGTGGCTGACCCTTTTCCCCTCTCTACTTCCTCCCCTCCCTCAGATGCTCGAGCCAGAGGCTGCAGCGCCAGGGGCCTTGCCCTCCACAGGGGAGGACAGAACAAGTCCCACGGCCCACGCCATGAGGGAGGACTCGGTGGAGGAGACAATGGCAGTGCCCCAGGACCCCCCAACAACAGGATCCAGGGAGAAGGGGGGCCCCAGCCCTGGGAAGCACAAGGAGGAGGAGGAAGGGACCAAAGAGACCCATCTCAGCCCCACAGCCTTCGCCATCCCCAAGCTGCGGCTGGAGGACACAGCAGCCATCGCCACATTTGATCTTGATGGCCCAGCAGACTTTGGGGAGGAGGAGGAGGAGGAAGAAGAAGAGGAGGAGGAGGAGGAGGAAGAAGACGAGGAGGATGAAGAGGATGAAGACAGCCACGAGGCCTACTTGAGCAGAGGGGAGGTGAAGCGCTGCAGCATGTTTGAAGCCTCGGCCAGCGAGCCACCAGCCTGCAGCCTGAGTGCCCAGAACTCACTCCGGCGGCGCACCCACAGCGAGGGGAGCCTCCTGCAGGATCCGAGGGGTGGGCACTGCTTCACCTCCGACACCAGCCTCAACTACGCCGAGGCCCAGGGCCCAGGCACCAGCTGGACACTGCCATCCCCCCAGACACTCAAGAAGGAGCTGGCCAGGAACGGGGGCTCCATCCACCAGCTCACCCTGCTCTTCGTCGGGAACCGGAAGGTAGGGCGCGCAGAGGGATTGTCTGCGGGGAATCTGGGGGACAGTGGGGGTGCTTGGCATAGGGGCAGAAGGTGTTTTCCTCAAGAAAGGCAGGCCCTGGGTTCTGGGGTAGTCTCGCAGCCCCCAGCCGCTGCCTATACCACCTCTAGGGTAGGGGCAATTCTGGCTCCTGCTAGTTGCCTCAGGCAGGGGGTCGCCTTCTTCATTGCTGTCCTTTCATGGCTCATTTGCCGAAAGAAAGCTAACCAAGTGAGAGTTCAGCATTCTGATAACCTATTCTCTTTTTTAAATGTTTCTAATCCTTCAGACAGAGAAGAAAGGCTTGTTTCTGCCCTGCAGATGCAATTCCTTTCCCAGGGAAAGCCAATAACTGGCACATTTGGGTTCAGTCCTTGTGCTGCTCAGACCTAAAGAGCCCTAAGGTCACATGCAGCTTCCAGCCAAGACAGCCTTCTCTGCAGCCATCTCCAAGCGCCAGGAGCACCCATAAGCCTGGTGCACAGTCTGGGAGTCATTCTGGACTCACAGCTGTCCCTGGAGGCACAGGTCAATTCTGTGCCCAGGGCGGCTGTCTACCAGTTCCATCTGCTGTGCTGGCTGAGACCCTACCTGCATGCGCACTGTCTCGCCTGGGTGGTGCATGCTCGGTTATCTCCCGCTTGGACTACTGCAATGTGCTCTATGTGGTGCTACCTTTGAAGGTGACTCAGAAACTACAACTAATAACAGAATGCGGCAGCTAGACTGGCAACTGGAACCTGTCATCGGGACCACATAACACTGGTCCTGAAAGACCTACATTGGCTCTCAGTATGTTTCCGAGCACAATTCAAAGTGTTGGTGCTGACCTTTGATGCCCTAAACGGCCTCAGCCCTGTATACCTGAAGGAGCGTCTCCACCCCCATTGTTCAGCCAGGGACACTGAGGTCCAGCACTGAGGGCCTTCTGCTGGTTCCCTCATAGCGAGAAGTGAAGTTACAGGGAACCAAGCAGAGGGCCTTCTCAGTAGTGGTGGGGCACCAGATGTCCTTTGGCCTTTTGTTGCGCCCATAACCCTGGAGAGGTCAAACTGAGCAATGCTGCCCAGGATGCCGGTGGGCAGGGAAGCTATGTGCTGCTGCTGCTGCTGCTGCTGCTGCTGTGAGGTTCTTCTGCGCTTTGTCCATTATTGCTGCTGCTGTTTTGTGATTGGTCCATCTGCTGCAGCTCAGCCTCCTTGGAGCCCTGGCCAGGAACTGGTCTGTATCTAACCTGATTAGCTGCAGGAAGCCTGGCTTGATGGCAGCTGCAGGGCTGAGGCTGCCTAGTCCTGAATTCCTGGTGGGGGCTCTTATCATTTGCTTGCCCAAGATGCATGTGTGTGAGCACATGCTTCACCCCTAGGTGACCCTCCTGAGAGGCAGCTAGAAGCTGACTTCTGCTCTCTGGAGACAGGAGGCTTGACAGCACATACAAGTGGAGAAATGCAAACAAGTCCTTAGAAAAGTATTTCTTTGGAGATAATTTTCTTCTCTCCCTCTTCCTCCCTCCTCCCCACAAAAAGCTGCCTGGGACATGGGAGGGAGAGGTGAACTGGCCAGGAGGCCACTTTCTTTCAGCCTTTTGCACAAACTGTTGGTTGGGAATGTGGCAGTGGGGTGTGTTGCTGGAATGGCTTGACAACCACCATCACCCTCCTTTTGCTTACAGAATGTTTGTTTACATTCCAAGGCATCATGGCGGACAAAAAGGAACAGCCATTTTCCAGTCTGTTTCATAAGCATGCTGTTTGCAGTTTTTGTTTTTGTTTTTTAAAGTAATATTTATTGAATTTTAAAGGGTTACAAAAAGAAAGAATTAAAAAACAGCATATTTAAAAAATACAAAACATCACATCACGATAATAAAAAGAAAAGAAACAAGAAGAAAAAAAAGAAAAAAGAAAAGAAAAAATACAATAAATCTTCCCATAACTTATCTTTCATTTGCTTATTTCCTTGACCTCCTCACACCTCCCTTTTTTGTATTCTAGTTCAATTAACTATTTCAGCAAATCCTTTCCATCTTTTCCAGTTTTTGTCCTCTATCTTAATACAATGTAACTTTACTTTCCCTCCTTCACCATTTAGCAATCTATTTTTCCTTAATCCTTTATAGCATTTCTGCTAAAACCACATTATTTCATTCCAACATCCTTCTAACATTCCTTAATTTTACAATGTTTCTGTAAATAAACTTTAAATTTCTTCCAATCTTCTTCCACCAACTCCTCTCCCTGGTCTCGGATTCTGCCAGTCATTTCCGCCAGCTGTTTGCAGTTTTTGACCCCGCTTTCAAAACCCCAGAATGCCTTCTGCGATCTTTCTCTATCATCCTCACAAACAAGTCACCACGTTCTCCCTTTCACAGATAGAGAGGCTGAGGCTGAGAGTGCGGCTTACCAAAAGCCAGCAAATCCACGACTAGAACTAGGACGTAAAGCAAAGTTTCCTAGATTAGACCCACCTAGACCAAAGGTCCCCTGAGCTCCAGTTGCTGGTGGGCACCCAGGGGAGAGGACAACGGCCCTCACATCTGGTTGGCTAGTGGGCGAAGCAGGGAATCTGGAGAAGAGCTAACCCCACCCCCCACCCTCCACCCCACCCCCCGGAAAGATCCAGTCGCCAGCACTGTGAGCAATTGTTAGCTCAATGGAACTCCCACATTGAAAGGCAGTCTGCCTCTGGATGCCGTTGGCTAGGGAGCAGCAGCAGCAGGGGCAGGGCCTTTGCTCAAGGGTAGACCGTCTGCCTAGCATGCGGAAGGCCCCAGGTTCCATCCTCATTGGCATCTCCAGGCAAAGTTGGAAGAGCCGTTGCTGCCAGTCTGTGTAGACAATACTGATGGACCAATGGCCTGGCTTAATATAAGCTGCTCCCTGTTTCCTTGATTTCTGTTGGCATGATGCCTTGCTTGGCTGGGGACTTCCTGGTGGCAGGGGGTGGAGGGAGGAGGTTTCTCCAGAGGAATGCAGAGGTCATGAAAGCAGATCTGCTCTCAGCTGCTTAGACTGCAGGCAAGGGGGTCTTATGGTGACCCTTCTCTGCTCCTTGACCTTCAACCGGAAAGAGGCAGTTGCAAAACTCCTGGTCCTCGGCAGGGGTGGAGCAAGGGGGTGCAGACCACTCTGGGTGTCATCCTGAGGGGGGGTGACATTCGGCACGCCCCCCGCCCACGACTCCCAAGGCTACAGCGAGCAGCGGCTGCAATGGCAAAGCGGTAGGCTTGGGACTTGCTAGTGCAGAGGGTGGTGAAAAAATTTTTTTCGCACCGGGTACCACCTGACCTTGCTACACCTCTGGTCCTCAGCAGCAGCTCCTGCCCACCTGGTTACCAAAAACCCCCTTCCTCCTTACCGTAGATTCCGGTGTATAAGACGACTTTTTAACCCCGGAAAATCCTCTAAAAAGTTGGGGGTTGTCTTATACGCCGGGTATGGGTTCGCTGGGCAGCGGCAGTGGGCGGCGGGTTTCGTGCCGGGAGGAAGCTGCCCAGCGATGCTAAGCTGGCTTCGCTGGGCAGCTTCCTCCCGGAGCGGAGCCCGCCGCCCACTGCCGCTGCCCAGCGAAGCTGCCGCATATAAGACTGGGCGTATAAGTCGACCCCCCAAATTTGAGGGGTTGACTTATACGCCCAGTCGCCTAATATGCTGGAATCTACAGTATTTCTCAAGCCAAGAGTTTCCCATACTGCGAGGCTGGGCTCATGGTGTGTCTTGGCTGCCTCCTGGCGGTCATTTCCAGGATGGCTTTGGGCATTCCAGATCAGCCCTTCCTTGCAGGGAGAGACCAGAAGGGGCTCATCTACACAGGGAGGAAGCCCAATGTGGATTAGAAGCTGCTTCTGCCTCAGTTTTTTGAGGGGTGGCAGTGGGGTTCTCCACACCAGGTCCTCATCATCCATCTGTCAGCCTGAATGTTTTCCCATCAAGATTTGGTTTTCCCAGCTGAGGGATAATCCAGTATGGGAATTAAAACCAATATAAAATTGAATGTTGCCTTGGAGGGGGTTTACATGGGTAGTACCACCTATCCCCAGCCTCCTATTTTGTTTCTGTCGTGTTTATGGGTTGTTGGTTTTTTTTTTTAATTTCAAAGCACTTTCCCCCCAAAAAACAATTCTTTCTGTGTGTGAATGGGCAAGAGCAGCGCAGGCTTGGAGGGAGTGTGTGTGTGTGTGTGTGTGTTTGTGTTTGTGTTAGAGATGAGCCATTTTCCCGGCAATTATTGGACAGCTTACATCGAAGCGACCAATTTTCAATTACTCAGTCTGCAAGATCCTGACACAAAGCAGGGCCTCCCATTCCCTCTGTCTGTCTGTCTGCCTGCCTGAGAAAGGGCTCAGAGGTGCCTCCTCCAGCCTGGCTGTTCCGTGCCCTCTTTGTAAGTTGCTCCTCAGCAGGCTGCCAATGGGGCTGTGGGCAATGCACACACACACACACACACACACACACACACAGGCATATATTTCATTTTTTCACCTGCTCATTTGTGCAAACCTGGTAGATTGAAAAAGCTCTGTTTTAGACATAAAAAGGGACTGCTTTGCCCACTGTGGAATATGCATTAAATGCTGGCTTTGCTGGAAGTTTGTTTTGCAATTCCACATCCTTTTTTTCCCCCTTTTCCTTTTAAGGTGCAAGTGTGCAGGCAACCAAATACCTGCTTGCACATCACAGCCTCCCAAGGCAGACTGTTCCACTGTCAAATGGCTCTTACTGTCAGAAAGCTATTCCTCATGTTTAGTCGGACTCTCCTTTCGTGTAAATAGAGCCCATTGTATTGGATCTTACCCACCATAGCAGCAGAAAGCAAACTTGCTCCATTGTTTTCTTTGTCCCTTCTCCCCCAGCTGGTTTACATAAATGACTGGAATTCTCTCTTTCTGTGTGTGTGTGTGTGTGTGTGTGTGTGTGTGTGTGTAAACTGCACAATTCTGAAACTGACTAGATAAAAAGAAGGACCCGTCTGCATTTCAAGCCACTAATATGTCTACAGCCACTGCTAAGTCATTCTTCTCAGTTTGGATTGAAACTGGGTAGTGTGTGGGTTGGGGAACAACACATAGGCGCGCAGGGTAGATAATGGACTGCAGTTTGCACGCAGCTTCCCAAAGCAGAGCAAATGGGAGTGTGCACAGCACACAGCCTGGTTGGAAGCCCCCTCCCCTGTGCTGGTGAGGGCTTGCCCCCTTTCTGTCGGGCAGCAGCAAAAGGAAGATGGGCCCCCAAGTGCTCAGCTGCTCCCGCCTGCCTTTCTGCCTCTGCGTGGAAGCAGAGTCTCTCCCTTTCTCCCCTTCCAACAATGGGAGGAAATGTGTTTGGGGCAGGCTGCTTCTTGGAGTGTCTCTGCCAGGGAGGGAGACGGCCAGGCCAATAATCTCCGGAAGCCTCACCTAGCAGGGGAAGGAAGCTGCGGGACCCTCCGGCTCCTTGGCTGGGGAGCCCATTCCCACGGGTGAGCGGAAAGCGAAGGGTGGGGGAAGGGAGGCAAGTGACCAAGAGAGAGAAATTCCTCAGCAAATTCTCCTCCTGAGCTGAGCGTGCAAAAAGGGAGGATTTATATTCTTCCCAGGTTACAACCCAGTGTTGGATACAACGGGGCTTGCTTCTGAGATGAACTCATACCCAGCCAGATGGGCGGGGTATAAATAATAAATGAAAAAATTAATAATACAGAATTGGGTTGCCTCCTATTTCAGTATATTCAGTGAATGGTTCTTTTGGTTACTGCTACTTATTGGAGCTGAAAAGCGTTGATTTGGGGGCAAATGTTTAATTCATCCAGAAAAGCTTCTGTTTCTATTGCGTTTTGTACATTGTCACAACTTCTGCCGCAGCCATAAAACGTGGAGGAGGGGTGTTGCAGGAAATGATTGCAGAACAGCAGGAGCATAAATGCAACAGAACACCCTGTATAAAAATGGTGCTCTTTCTAAGTGAGCAATTAGCAAGAATTTCATTCCCTTTGAGTAAAAGGAGTCAGAGACTTGCTGTGCTTTATAAACCGGAGAGAAATTAAGGGAGAAGACCATTTCAAAGAAAAGCTTGGAGTGATTTGGTTCTTGTGTTGTGGTTATTGTTAGAGAAGCAGGAAGAGGAGGAACAGAGCAGGGAGCAGAGATGCCCCATGGCAAAGGGTTCAGGGCTCAGCCCTTGGTCTTTGGAGAGGGCAGAAGGATTCCAGGGTGGCTCCCCTCAGCTGCAGCCTGCCTTCAAGGGGCGTCTCACTCCCCAGGGGCTTCTGCTTACCTCCCACCCCGTCCCATCTCATCCCTGTCCTTCTCTCCCCTGCAGCAGCAGCAACATGGGCACCTGCTGGACCCCGACTGGGCCCTTGACCGAGGAGTTTCTTCTCGAGGGGCCTGCAAGAAGACAAACAGGAACCTGTAAGTTGAGGGAGGGGAGGGAACCCATCTCGGGAGGGGGCTGAGGCCAGACCCAGAGTCCCTGCCTGGAGTTGGGGAGGCCCCACACCAGGCAGGTAAAGCCCTCATGTGCCACTTGAAACAGACGCACACCCGTGTGTGAAGATTCCTGGGAGCTGTAGTTTGATAAGGGGGCCAAGAGCTGTTAGGAGAACCTTAGCACACTACAATTCCCAGGATTCTTTGTGTGTGGTGTGGGGGGGTGTTAATAAGAATGCTTTCAATACATGATATGGCTGTGACCCTGGAAACCCAGATCCCACGCTGTGGTGGGCTCCTTTGAGTGCACTCAATAGTTATTGGGGAGTGAGATGCAAACGGTTATTTCTTTTACTGTTCCTTTCCATGGAGCTGGGGTGGGATGGGGTCACTTTCTGCATGCTCAAGGTATCCTCCGATTATTCCTCACATGTTCCAGGGCTAATTGCATGTTCATGGATGGGGCTTGCTTGCTCGCTCCTGAAGGAAAAGTGCTCTGCTCGTGGTTGCTCAGAAGCCCCTTGCGTGGGGGCTTCTTCTGCCAGTCGCAGCAGCCACAGAGGAGGTGGTTTGCAGGCCATCCACACCAGTCCCCACGCCTGCTTCATGTAGCCTGGCACAGAATGAGACCCTGGGTGCTGGGCAGCCTGGGTACAAAGTCAGAAGCAAGAGCTCTGCTTAGTGTAAAGGCACTGCACACTTTCCCCAAAGGGGAGAGATGGGCAAGGCAGACAGACAGCCTCTGGGTCCGTATGGGGATTTCCCCTCTCCTGGCCGGCCACACCCTCTTCATGCAATCTAAGAACTGTGGTTGGGAGGGGTCTCAAGGGTCATCTAGCCCAACCCTCTGCAATGCAGGAATTGTAACTGAAGCACCATCTTTGTTCCTGGGTGCTACTCTTGAGTAATCAGCGCCGGGTTGCTGCTCATCCGTTGCAGCCAGCTCTCATTTGTTTCATTTTTACACGAGAGATAAAACAGACGAAGACGGCAACTGGGGTCGTCTATCCCAAAGAGGGGATCTGAACCCAGGACCGCTTGAAGCCCGCCTTACACTCTGGCCCTGAGGAAGTGGGGCGGGGCATCTAAATCAGCCCCTCCTCCTCCTCTGCAGATGCGGGCAAGGCGGTGGGCACGGGAGGGCTTCAGGAGTCCCGCTGCGCATGCTCGAGCGTGGGGCGGTGTCTTTGCGAGGCGCTGCCGCGGGGTGTCGCTCTGGGCGCACTAGTGGAGACGCGGCGGAGGGCAGGATCCGGCGCCCCTTTCTCAGCCCGAGGGTCCGGGGAGGGAGAGGGCGGGGGGCTTCAGCTGCCTTTGAGGTCTCCGCGCGTCCAGATGCATCCCTCCGCGCGGGGGGTCGCCGAGTGGTACCTGGAGAGGTGAGGGAGGCAGCAGCAACCCCACCGGAGCGCGGGAGATGCCGCTTCCTTGCGAATAGCACGAGGGCGTGCGGCTTTATTTTGAAAGTACCGGGAAATATTATTTTGAAACGGGCGTAGGGCGCTTAAGGATGCCTGCGGGCGGGACGCCCTTCTAAATCTGCACTCTGCATTTGCTCAGGAGCGCTCTCACCGATTCCCCACGTTGTTGGCTCGCTGGCATTCCAGTCATTGAAAACGGAGTTGGGGGCGACGGGGGGCCTGGGCGCAAATCCTCAGAGCTGGACTCTTGAAATCAGTTTTGGGGGTGAGACGAGCCCCCCCGGCCCCACCTCTCGAAAAGACCCGGGTCTGGAAAGGACGTGGGGAGATCAGCTCAGCTCGCCATCAGTCAATCAATCAATCAATCAAAATTGGGGGGGGGGGGGTTCCCTTTCAATTAGAGCAAGGTGATTGGGGAGGTGCGGGTATGACGCTTAAGCTGGACATCCGCTGCGTCTCAAGGGCGACCCATTTGACCCTTGTCATTCATGCACGTAGAGGTAAATTCAGGTTGGATGGGAGGCCAAAAAGGGATGGTGCTTCTTGCGAGAAAGCTGCCCCTTTGGGAGGGTGGGCTACCCCTTGCCTTGCCCCTACGGTCGTTAACCTCCCCGCGAACCAATCGGGGCGAAGGGCGACCATCGCAGGCTGCCCACGAAATCCCTTCGGAGTAGGGAAGGCGCGGTTCCGTCCCGGAGTCTGCGGGGAAAGGGCCCGTCC